GAAAGGAAAGAGGAGGAGGAGAAGAAGGAGAAAGCAGAAGGATGGACGAGAAGGAGAAGGACTGGTGGAAGTGAGGAGGAGCAGGAGACGACTGACTCTGTTGAAGAGCAAGTGATATTCACGGACGAGGTTCTGATATTTCGCCTGATGGTAAGACTGCAAGACAACCTATCAGCTCTCACCAAGACATCTACTAGATCTCACGTAGACGTTCTTCAAGCTCTCTATCCATCCCTCCTGCTCACAATGTCAAGCCTTGAAGCTCCACCCCCGCTCATGTCGAATATCTTTGCCTGTTTCACAATCATCCCCTCAAGCTTTGAAATCTGCTCGTCCACATCTGCAGACAGGTTTCAAACCTTCGCCCTCCTTCTACCTCTCCCTCCCTGCCTCCCCCAGGGTTTCTTGTCCCCTCCTCCTCACCGAGCTGCAATGTCGTCAGCACATGGAGAGCACGCGTCAAACACGAGATCTCATCTGTGATGGTAGTCGTCATCCATCGCGATCCTCCTGACCTCTCTCTCTCTCTCCTCACCTCGAAGATGAGAGTTGTGCTTTGTGTAAGAAGACATCTTCTTCTCGCTCTGTTGTCTGTGGTTCAGCTAGTGCGGCCACGAGCACATCAGTCTCGACACGACATGTACCTGACGTAGTTCCTTCAAAGTCTGGGAGATTCTCTCTTCAGATTGCTGCTCCCATCGTCAGCATTGTAATCATCATCATCTCCATCATCATAATCTCCGTCATCATCATCATCTACATCATCTCCATCATCGTCGTCATCATTTGAATTATCATCATCGTAATCATCGTCATCTGAATCTGCATCTACATTATCATCATCATCATCATCATCATCATCATCATCATCATCATCATCATTATCATCATCACCATCATCATCATCATCATCATCATCATCATCATCATCTCCATCCATACAATCATCATTCATGCTTCCTTGCACGTCACCTTCAGTCTCTCTTCCATCGCCTCAGCATACTCATCTTTCTCTTGTTCAAACTGTCTTATCTGACAGCACTCCCTCATCACCACAGCCTTTCTTCATCCCAACACTCTACCAGCTCTACAATCTTGCCGTCTGAAGCAGCTTTCCCTTCCCTCATCTCCGCATACTCCACCTTCGCTCTCTCGTTACCACAACAACATGTCCTCTCCTCCCGCACAAGACCTGCAGCCCCCGCATATCCTCCTGCAAGCTCTCCAAGACGTTGCTCAAGATCTCATTCTTCTGCTGTAAGACCTGGTTGTCTTGTCGCGCCTTCTCCAGCTCCTCTACGTTGACCTCCTGCACACCAACAACACCCTCGTCTCATCCTCCGCACCCTTCACCTCTCCTCCACCTCACCCGCATGCTCTCTGATGTTTGTAGCTTCTGTTCGACCTCCTTCATCGCTTCTTCCGCTTCCTCCAGCTTTTGTTCCTTGCAGACACGCAACTTCACACGCGCATCTCGCCCAGCAAGACAGGCAGTATGAGGTATCACATGCAACAAGCTTGAGCTCCTCAGGTCCTCGACCTGCTGACGGCAGAGCTGACGCGCTCATGTCAGCTGGGGTGTGCGGTGTACTTGTCAAGTCACGTTGAGGTCGTGAAGAGCTCTTGCGATCTGCTCTCCTTGCTGCGTTTCTATCTGCCTCCTGCTCTCCATCTCTCTCTCCATCTCCTCCAGCCTCCCATTCAGCCTTGTCTTGTCTTCTTCCAGCCCGTCGCCTCTGTTGCAGCCGTAACCTCGAACTAACGGCTGCAACGGCAATCGATCGCACCTTGACGTCTGCTGCTCGACCTCGAGCTCGAGGCCTTTCAGTCGCTCGATCTCCTGCTGCATCGACTCGTTTGAAGCCTTCACCTCCCTCAGCTTGCTCTGCTCCAGCATGTCACCAGCTCTACAAGCATCCACCCACTGCTCCTCCTCCTGCTTCTCCACCTGCTCCTCATCTCCTGCCTATCTCCTCCCTCTCGCCCTCCTCCAGCTAAGTCGCCGCACAGCGCGCAAGGAGCGCAGACTCGCCTTGAGACAAGCGACGCGGCCTTGCGACTCTTCTCGCAGCCTCTTCATCTCTTGCTTGTGACGGCTGATCATTCCTCGCCATCACAAGCTTATCACCCCTGCCGCCACCAACTCACTCCTCCTGCATCTTCAGCACTTGAGTCATGTCAAACGACTTGTTCTCCTCTGCCTGCAGGCCTGCAGACCTGTACAGCCATGTCAGCTCCGGCAAGCGCTTCTTGCCATGCAGCAGCATGTCAGCCCTGTAGACAGAGCAAGCACACGGCATTGCTCGTGCAAGCAGCTTCCTGTCGCACCTCAGCTTCTCTTCCAGCATCTTCATCTTGGTCTGCTCGCCCACAAGCTGCAGCACCCCCATCAGCATCGTCTCCGCCACAGCCGTCGACCTCGTCACCTGTTGCTCTAGCGCTGAGATCCTGACCATGCTCTTGAGATCCTTGCACGACATCTCGCGTATCCTCGACATCCACCATGACTCCTGCTCGGTCGCGAGGACCGCGGAGATCGTCTGCTCGCGATGCTTGTGCGTCAGCAGCACCAAGAGAGGGCGAGCAGGCGTCACCTTGGAGAGGCAGCTTGCCTTTGCTCTTCGCTTGTCCGTCACACAGTCATAGGACATGCGGGAGCTGCTTGGGAGACGTGAGCAGCAGATGAGACGATGGCGAGGAGCTCACCGGTCGAGGGAGTTGTTTCCTCTCATCGCTACTCTTCTCTCTGACGGATATCGAGCGGCTCTCGACTCGTTCATCTAGCAGCCTCTCTCAGCTCTCACAAGATCATCTAGACAGGTGCGCGCTCTATCATGCTTTCTTTCCTCTCCTATGGTCATCGTCTTGTCTGCTGCCTGTCTTCTCCTGTTCATCTCTCTCTCTCCTGCCTCAAGTAGCTTCGTCTCCCATCATCGCGGACGGTTGAACCTGACAGCCTCAGGAAACCCGCCTCAGAGGCTTGACTGCTCAGTGACTCCGGCGGACGCCGGGAGTCCGGGCCACCGGGAGACTGAAGTTACTAGTACAAGCGGCCCCGAGCCTCACAGAGTCACAGTCACGTTCTGACCGGGCCAGTTTCAGCTCAACGCGGGGTCACTGTATTGAATGGTGAACTGATGGGAGGGGAGAGATGAAACGACCGTGCTCGCAGCCATGCGTGTACATCCCGCCAGCCAGGCTGTACAGCAGCAGGCATGTAGAGCGCTGCAGAGCCTTGCTGTCAACGACGACAACGAGGTCAAGATCGCGGGGCTCGGGGGCATCGAGGCCGTGCTCGCAGCCATGCAGACTTGTTCCTCAAGCCACCCCGTACAGGAGCAGGCGTGCGGAGCAGTACGGAGCCTGGCTTGCAACGCGGACAACACCTCTATGCCGTGCTCGCAGCCATGCGTGCACATCCCACCAGCCAGCCCGTGCAGCAGGAGGCGTGCGGAGCTCTAAGAAACCTAGCCCTGAACGCGGACAACAGTGTCAAGATTGTGAGGCTCGGGGGCATCGAGGCCGTGCTCGCAGCCATCGAGGCAGACCGATCGAGTGAGGATTTACAGCATCAGGCTATCTGGTTTCAGGCTTCTGGCTCTAATGCAATCAGGAAGGTCGATTCAACTCAATTTGCTTCAGCTTAAAACTGATGTTTGTGCAGAGTCTGAGGACAATACATCGTCATGTTCGAACGTTTCTCTCGGACGCCATGGGCAGGTTCAAGAAAAATGACTTTATTTAGCAGCAGGGTAAGATTGTTCTGAAAGGCTACAGTAACTTTTGTCATCAATGTTTCTCTATGAAATAACAACAATTGTCCTGTTTGTAGCATGATGATGACTGACATGACATGGTTTCATATTTTTATTCATTCACATCTTTCCAACCCGTACAACAAAGAGTGTGTGTGCAAGTATGCAAATGTCTCATCACAAATCACATCTACATGCCCAGTTTGGATTTGATTGGATAGCGAGACCTGAGGACCTTTCAATGAGATCGTATTCTTCAGAATTGACAACTACTACATCATTCCAGACATGGAGCTCGTAATGAAAAGTCCCTTCATCTTTCTCTAACATATTTCAATCTTCAAACTCAACCTTGCCTTACTCACTTAGTCCGAGATCATCCTATCTTGCATTAACGACATCTCTTCGTCGTGAACACGCTCTCTCCGCACTCACATCAGCACTGCAACCATCCTACAAGCTCGTCTCACCACCTATCGACACTTCTTCCAGTCTTTCATGCTACAAGCGCTTCACAAGCTTCACGCCAGCATCTCCCTTCCCTCCTGCCGCCTCTGACCTCCTCCCCCTCCCATTCTCACTTGACTAGCCTTATCCGCTCAATAGCCGTTAGTGATACCTCAATGGCGGCAGGGGGAGGGGGGGTGAAGAGAGAAGGAGAAGAGACGAGAGGAGAGCAGAGCAGAGCAGAGCAGAGCAGATCAGATCAGAGCAGAGCAGAGGAGAGCAGAGGAGAGCAGAGCAGAGCAGAGCAGAGCAGAGGAGAGGAGAGCAGAGGAGAGGAGAGCAGAGCAGAGCATAGCAGAGCAGAGGAGGCACAGGGAGAGAAGGAGAAACAAGGAGGACAAAGGAAAGAGAATGTACAGTCAGAGACTGGGTCCGATCAAGACGAGTCGGCAGCTAGGAGCGCAAGGTTGATGACAGCAAGAGCAGTTCGAGGATGAAACTCTCATGTTGATATGAGCGCAAGGCTGATGACAGCAAGAGCAGTTGGAGTCATGTCAACACGAGAGTTTCACACTCTCATGTTGACATGACTGACGGGCATTGAGGGCCGAGGGGTTGAGAGTGAGAGGCTGGGAGATGGCATGGAAGACTTTTCTCGCTCCCTCATGATTGTTGCTCACAGATCCCTCCCATGCACTGAGATCGGCCTCTACCTCCTCCCTCAACAGCCTCGCATGCCTCCTCTCCCTCCCCTCAGCCTCGCAGTCATGTGCCTCCTGCTGCTAGCGCTTGGCCCAGGACAAGCTCAGGGGCTCTATGTGCTGCAGTCAACCTTCAGGTACAAGCTCAGCATGTTGCGCTACCGGCTTGACGACGGTCAGCAGCTCAAGTCAGTGCGACGGGCTGCCGATCGAGATGGTCTTCATGGCCAGACAGGACAGAATGGCGGACCTGTGCTCCAACCCCTCTTGCCTGCCCCAGCTGCAGTATGTGCCGTCAACGGTCCTCCCTCAAGGGACTTACCGCAACGTTGACTGCTCGCTCGAGGCTGCTGACTTGACGGCGATCTCTAACGTCCAGCAGAGCTACGGGGTGTTTGTGCTGTGGCCGTGGGTCAGCGCTTGTAAAGGAGAGGCGGCGAAAGCTCTCTTGTTTGTCAGCGGTACATGATGGCTGGTTGCCGCCTCCTCTGACCTCGGATCCTCCATCAGGGACGTGCTTCTACAACGCTGACACAGACATGTACATCAAGTTCGACTGTGCGAGCGATAAAGTCAACATGTGCTACGACTCGGCATGCTCTTCCTGCTACGAGCCGCAGGTCCTCGACTCAAGGTGAGCTGAACGGACATGAAGACGGTCGGGGGGACGTGACTGGCTCGCGCAGCAAGTGCTATCGGAATGCTGGGTCGACGTTTCAGTTCTCGTTCGACTGGTCGTGGACGTTTCACTGCTCGACGCTGAGCAACTTCAACAGCCTGTGGAACGACGGCAAGGACGCCAACGTCACCAGCGTGGTGAGGGGAGGAGGAGAGGCTGGGGTGAAGGCTGTGATGACTTTCTTGTGTGTTGGTGCAAGCAGAGGCCGTTGTTGTCTACAACAGACGTGGACGCGATGGGAGGCTACGAGAAGTCGAAAGTGCGTCCTGCTCCTGACTAGTCTGCACGTGCTGATGCCCTTGGAAGGTTGTGCAGCGCACCGAGATGCTGCTGTCCTTCACGCTGGGGCTGGCGAACGAGGCAGACGCTTGCGCGCTACTGCAGGTAGGAGGGTCTGCTGCTGGTCAGGGGGACGTGACGTGTGCTGGATGGCTCAGGCTGACATCTACGAGGAAACTTGCAATAAGACTGTGCTGTCATGTCCAGGTGAGACTGGAGGGGAGGGGAGGAGGGGAGTTGAGTAGGCGGGAAGGGAAAGAAGAGCTGAAGAGAGAAGGAGAGGAAAGGACGAGGTCAGGAGGAGGGAAGAAGAGTGGGAGAGGTGTGGCGAGGAGGCGGAAGAGGAAAGGAAAGGGGATGAGAAGAGAGCGAAAGGTTCAGGGAGGGGGAGGAAGGGAGAGGAGGAGGAGAGGTGAAGAGCATCTCCTGTGTTTCGTCGTCGCTTACCTGTCGCAGTCAACTTCCAGTCTGCTCTGTCTCGCTCCCTCCTCTCCTGCCCGGGTCAGTGGATGACAACGACGGGGCAGCAGAGGCTCTCGCTTATCAACTCCTCCTACTTTGTGAGTTCTCTTTGACCTCCTTCCATCTGTTCTCCTTCTGTTTCACTTCTTTCCTTCCCCTGAATTTTCCTCCCCCTGTTGCTTTCACTTCTCATTTTCACCCCATTTATATCATTGCTCCTCTCCTCTTTCTTGTTCCCACTGTTCGGTGTTTCCCATCCTTTCCTCACTCTCCTTCTCTTGTGTTTTCTTTCCTTTTCTCATGCTTTTCTCTGACCTATCATGTCAGGGAAATGCTACCGCCTCGAGCTTCATTCGCAATCGTTACTGGTAGAACTGTGAAACCTAAACCTGTCGCAGAAAGTTTTGACACCTCAACAAAACAAGATGCGATGAATCATCATTCATTCCTTGATTTCTTCTTAGATGTTTTTGCTCTCGTATGTGGAACATTATCAAAATCTCAATTATGATCATTTCATCTCCTCATCGATTCAACCTGCTTCTTTGTGTTGTGTACTTGTTCTTCAATCTGCAATCATTGTCATTGATCAGTTCTACTTCTGCTTCTCTGCAAACTCTCTCGTTCACTTGCCCATTCATCCGGCTGTAGGTACTGGTGCGACCCCCTATGTTTGACCTGCAAAGATTCTCAATGCACTGAGTGCTTGACGCGACTTGTTCCCAACTTGACAGTTTGGTTCGGTCAGTGCAAACACGTCAAAGCTAAGGTCTCAACTTTCTGCAGGAGAGATAGCAAACTTTACGAAGCTTGACAACTATGAGCAGTCAAGAGCTTACTTCAGAGAGAACTTTCGTTACGAGGTTGTTTGGATTCCCGCTCCACCTCCACCTCCTTCACCTTCTTTCTCCCTTATCTACCTGACAAGTCCGCAGGTCGACCTCAACCGCGATTCTTTCCTCTCCTTCCAAGAATTCTCCCGCGTCGTCGGCAACGCGACCTCGTACGCCATCGGAAACCTCAGCGGAACCGAAGTTCTCTTCCGCATCCTCGACCGATCGGGGGATCGCAGGATTGACATCCTCGAGTACGCCGACGGCATGGCAGCAGGAGCCATCTCCACTCGTCCGCGCGTCCTCTGGCCCAACGTCACCGCCTGCCATGGCGCCATCGCCTTCCCCAAGTTCTTCTGGTGTCCTGCGACCGCGCAGACGTACGCGGACGAGCGCAGCTGCGTTCTCGCATGCCCTTCCTACTGCAAGGACTTGACAACTAGCACCGGGTGGCAGTACGAGCAGCTCAGCGTCGTAGTACCCCTCATGCAGGTACAAGATGACCCCCTCCTAGCCAACCTACCCCGGGTGCTCACCCCCTACATCGGAGGGGTGATGCAGAGAAAGGAGCAGGACTACCTGGTCTACGTCCTCAACGAGCCCAACGCCCCCAGCAGGTCGATCTTCCTCCGCCCCGACGCCTCCTTCCTCTGGCTCCTCAAGGCTGGCAGGGGCTGCCCCTCTCTCGCCTCCGACTACAGGTGCGGCACCTGCCCGGGCATGCAGCCAAACTATCGGATCAACTTCAGAGTCTACGACGCAGAGACGGCGAGGGAGTTTGCGCTGTCGAGCTTGAGGGTCTTGTTGAGCTGGTGCTGTGATGGGGTCTGTCCTGGTGGGCTCCTCTTCAACTCCTCTTCCGACGCTCCTCTTCCTCCTTCCAACCTCTCCGCCACCTCCTCCTTCGCCCTTTCCATCCCTGCCGGAACCTACCTCATCTCGGTTCAGACCAGCGGTTACAACTTCACCCAGCAGAGGGTAACGGTCTACGACACCACGGTCAACGTGTCCATCCCCATCTTCAGGAACCCAGCTGGGAACGAGATCGTGCTGGCCCTCAGCTGGGGAATGTACCCCTCGTCCTTGCGCCTGCGGGCGCAGCTGGGGGGTACAGTCTACGTCTCGAGCGCGGCAGCGATCTACAAGAACGACGAGCTGACGTCGTGGGAGATGCTCGGGCAGAAGCCGGACCTTATCAGGATCGTCATGCAACAGTCAGCTGGCAACTTCGTTCCCACCTCCTTCAACCTTTCAGTCGCAGTCCAGCACCAGGACTCCCCCCTGCTCTCCTCCAGCCAGACCTTCGTCGGAGGAGAGGAGGTGCAAGTGATCTCCTCCTCCGGAGTTCTTGTGAGAAAGTCGCTCTCGAGAGGAGGAGGAGACTACTGGCGGCTCGGTAGGCTCGACGTCAAGTCTTCAACCAGCGCGCTACTGGTGGAGGACGAAGGGACGTCCCCGTACAGCAAGCCGTTTGCCCTCAGCTGCAGTCAAGCTCTGGGAGGTGTTTGCAGCTCGTCGACCTCCATAGCTGGAGTCAGCATCGGCTGCTGCTCCTCCACCACCATCGGATGCAGCGGCAGGTTGTGCGACCCCCTGAGTACCTGCAAGTGCCCGTCCTCCTCCTCCTGCTCTTTCTACTCCCTCTCCTCCCCGGGCACCTCCTGCGGGGTGGGGGCATCGTTCGCTGCAGATGCAGGTCTTCCTTAAACTCCCTCCCCTCCTCTGACCCTCTGACCCCCTGACCCCCTGACCAGATCTCTCCTCCTGCCAGCCCTCCCTGTGCAAGGGGGACGTCTCCTTCAGCGGAGCTGGGCTCATGACGACTCTCACCTACTCTCCAGCTGATCAGAGATGCACCACGGCTCCTTCGTCTTTCTCCCCCCGGATCGAGTACGGCATCTGCAAGCGAGCTTGTGACTTCAGCATCCTCCCAGCTGCCGTTCCCTGCCCCTACGGGACCATCCCAGCTCCCCTTGACAACCTGCTCGCCTGCTCTTCCTTCCTCTGCGCGAACACCACGGGCATCCTCGCTGCAGCTGGAGTCTTCCCGGCCCTCTCGGTTGCCAACGCCTTCAGCTGGTCCCTTGTCATCCGGGGGGACGGCACCTGCCACGTCAGCCCCCCGTTGGGCTACCCCGAGGCGACTGAGGGGGTCAGGGACGAAACTCTGAACCTCTGCATGGCATGCCCAGCTGGATCCTACCTGAACCTCACTAGGGTGTCAGAATGGAGGCCAACGAAGACGTGTCAAGGTGAAGTTGGACAGGGGCCTGTTAAGAGCCGGGCTGAAGTTTGCGGCAGGTTGCCAGGAGACGACGGTCTGGAAGCTTCTCTACTCCCGCAGCTCGGGGTGGCAGGGCAATGTGCTGGACGCAGGAGCTGACTGGTGGAGTCAGATGATCCTCTCCGGTGAAATTTTCATCCTCTGCTACAATGCTACCCTCTGCCCTCCTGCTCCAGTTCTTTCCTCTTTGATTTCTCTCTTCCTGTCCCTCTCCCTCTCCCTCTCCCTTCCCTTCCTCGCATCCTCCTCCTCGCTCTCCGCATCCTCCTCCTCGCTCTCCGCATCCTCCTCGCCATCGCCCCCTGCCCTCTACCTGCTCCTCTCCTCTTCTCCTCTCAAAGTGCCCGCACGCAGGAAACTCAATCTTCCGCCGCAACTGTCCTTCCTGCTCCAACTCTTCCGCCCTCGTCTACTACAAGGTCAGCTGATCTACCTCGAGTTCGACTTCAGCTGGGGTCTGACACTACGGCAGGTCACGGCGTCCGCCTACACCAACAAGCTCTGGTCGAGCAGGATGCTCCATTCGATCCTCACGCAAGACTGGACGACCAGCCAGCCAGGACACACCCTGCACGTGGACTTTGAGCTGTACAGCACCGAGGTCAGGGGGAGAGGAGGAGGAGGAGGAGGGGAAGCAGAGGAGAAGAGAGAGAGGAGGAGCAGGGAATGAGCAAGAGGAGGCAGAGCAAGAGAGAGGAAGGATGCACGAGGGAGGGAGGGACGAGGAGGGGAGGGAGGAGGGGAGGGAAGGAGGGAGGGAGGAGGAGCATATGTGTTTTTGTGGATTGACTTCATCACGTCAGTCGGATGCGACAACGGGAAGGAACCCATGGATTGTCTGCCAGAACTTCACCGCTCCCAAGTGAGCTGAACTCTAGATAGAGGAGCAGGAGCAGGAGAGCAGGAGAAGGAGGAGAAAATGGAGCTGGAGCAGCAGTAGTAGTAGGGAGGAGGAAGGACGAAAAGGATGAGGACGAGGAGAAGGACGAGGAGAAGGACGAGGACGAGGACGACGAGCAGCAGCAGCAGCAGCAGCAGCAGCAGCAGCAGCAGCAGGATTGACTTGAGCTGACAGGGACATCTGTAATGTGACGCTCGTCCGACAAATCAGCCCCAGCAGCGCCAACTCGTCAAACTCAACGAATTTGACAACCGTCGCTAACGCCACTAACGTGACATATGTCAATCAGACCGTCTGCAGACCCTCGAATGAGTAAGATAATCCTCCTCCTCCTCCTCCCTATTCTCCTTCTCCCTATTCTCCTTCTTCTCCTCATCCCCCCGCCCCCCCTTGGTCGCCCTCGCCCTCTTCCTCCCTTCGTTGTCGTCTTCTTCTTCCTCTTCCCCAGCCCTTCGTTCTCCTTGTCCTCCTCCTTCTCCTCCTCCTCCTCAACCTCAACCTCAACCTCGACCCTCTCCTCCTCCTTCTCTTTGTATTGTTGATGGTTCTGTAGGCCGCTGACCTCCTTCTTCACTGCTGGTTTCGGTAAATGCAGCTCGATCTTGGTACGCCTGCGTCTCCTCCTCCTCCTCCTCCTCCTCCTCCTCCTCCTCCTCCTC